CACCTTTTCTTTTCCTTTGCTAAACATTGACCTTCCTCTCCATCTTCTTCTTCATCATCATCATCATCATCATCATCATCATTAAACTCAATTGGCTCATCAATTCCAATTGCTACACCATCTTCTTCATCTTTGGGTTGGCTACTCATTCATCGACTAAATGTACATCAAACAACAGATCATCTTCCACTTTTGGTGACTTTTTCTTTCTTTATTTTTTTTGCTTTAACTTTATGTTGTACATAATGTACATCAAACTATTCATTCTTTTCGTGCTTAGAAGATTTCGCCTCCTTGTGTGCACTCACATACTCCAATTACATTCATACTCCGATGCCAAACAAGTAAGGCTAATTTTTTTTTTTTGCAAATGCCTTTAGCTCCATCATTTCATATCCATAAGAGTCCCACCATTCAACTATATATATATTATAAAAACAAACAAAAAGTGAATAATTTATTTTACATATACTATAGATTACAGTAAAAAGAAGAGATAAAAGTATGAATATTTTAGTAATTACCGGGCTGGCTTGTCATGAATGACGCCAAACATCTTCTATATCAAAACATTCCTTGTTTGTATTTGAACATTTCAAGTTGGTCATCCACCTTTATTGTCTCACGTCATCCCTGATGAGTCTATCTATGCACCTAATATCCCTTGCTTGATCTTTATATGGTTTGAAACATCGAGACTCTATCTATATCGGGGGTTCAAATAATATGTAGTTGCATGTAAGTCACGATGCAACTGACGCTCCCACTTAGCATAAAAATATCCAATCTTCTTATAAGCAGAATATCATCACCAAAGTTCTTCGCTATCTTTTCCTTAGCCTCATCCATAGCTCCATAAATAAATCACATCGCGAGAGTCTCGCCATCAACAATCTGTAAAGCATGCACAAGTTGTTTTTTGGTTTTAATTGAATAAACCATGCTAGGCCAAAAAGTGTGCTCATCCATTACAATTTTCATCACATCTTTCCCACCGTCTTTCTTTGCCCATGCAAAACTATTTCATCCTTTTGAAACAAACATAATTTGTAATGCTTCTCTTATCTCATACATACTTTCCAAAATCATAAAGGCAGTGGCGAATTATGTAGCAGCGGGTCGAAGAAGATCTTTCTTTGGAATCTTTCTACAAATTATGGATGAAATTGTTTACCTACCTTGCTTTGAGCAAAACACTTCTTTATTGTGGCAACTCTCCAATTTTCTCAAAAATCAAGTAAATACCATGAGCAGCCTATATAGTCCAATACATGTGCTTCCTCTTCTCCATCAATAAAGTCTCTACAGCCTTGTATGCACTTGCTTTATCGGTCACCACTTGAACTATAATATCTTCCCCAACCTCTTCAATCACATTATCAAGCAACTTAAACAACTTTTTATCATCTTTCATACAATCCAATGCCTCCAGAGTATTCAAAAATCATGTCCCATATTTATTATTGATAAAAGAATCGACCAAACTCTTATTTCTCATATCAGACCAACCATCTGATAACAATGAAACTCCCATCTTTTTGCAAGCTGTTTTTATTTCCTTCACAATGAGAGATGCTGTCTTATATTCTTCTTTTAAGATCCAAGTCCTCATCTCATTATATATCAGCAAGCCTACCTACCTCAAGTTCATAAAAAATGATTTGTTTACACCAAATCCAACTTCACAAATCGTCATGCTTCTAATGGCAAATTTATGAATATATTCTCGACTAATAAGATCTCAATAGTCACAAGTTTGTAATTGAGCAAAGCCTAATGCTGTGAGTATTCCACTACCCTAATAATTCACCATAAAAATAGACCTTGACGCAAGTATACACATTAATCTACTGTAGTGTTGTAACAAGTAATAAAGGTACAAGTATCGAATATCGTTTTCACAGAGAAGGCTTGCAAAGTCTTTTCAAAAAGTTCAGTCTTTAAAAATTGATTTCAGATGACGAAATCGAAGAAATCTTTTGTTGGTTGGTTAATTATGAACTACGAAAAATATGTTGTAAAAAGAAGCAAAGGGTGTAAATATCTGTAAGGACTGAAACAAATGATCCATTATAAATATTATACAACATTTTCTAGACAATCCAATAGTACTATTAATTAGTACAATTGTCCTATCATAGATATTTGACTATCGGGTCGGAAGGCTTCCCAAGAGTACATACAGGTCATCGTACTATTGGTACGACATCATTTATGTTAAACGTCGTGAATCCTAGTACAACACTACATTACCATCATACACCGTATAATCACTTGTCATGCACTAAAACTATTTTAGTCTTCTTATATTACCTCGGGTTATTGTATTTTTCTTAACTCTAAAAGTTAATGCATTTTCATACATTAAATTGGTCGTCAATTAATTTTATGTAATCTTTAATGAAATATTTTAAACCCAAAATAAAATGTTTTTTAAAAACACCTTTCCAATTTCATATCGGTCTCGACCCTAATTTTCCATTACACCCCAAGGCAATTAGCTCATCATCGCTTGGTTTCTTTTTGCAAGAGATGTAAATACAAAAATGTAAATAACGGAAATGAAAACATACATGAAGTAAATCTTTGCAAGTATTTATTTAACGAAAGAGACTTGTCATGCAAGTTACATGTTTCTAGAAATAAATAATGAAATTAAATAATGTGGAAATGTAAACGACATAAAGTAAATTGCGTAAATTAAAGTGCAATAAAATAAATAGCAGAAAGTAAAGTACGGAAAAAGTAAAATCAAAACGAGTAAATAAAGGACTAAAATGGTAATTTACACGTAAAGTCTCGTTTACTGTTTATAAATACTTGCATGGTTAACCTTTAAACTAAAAGTTTTTGGCCTTTGAGATAATAACCCACGAAAAATTATTGATTTTTTTCAATCCAAAATATTGTCATGTTTTTAAGGTGTTCTCCAAAAGTAAAACCGAAAAGAAAAGTAATGGTGAATAATAAATAGAAGAGATGAACTAAAAATATCAATACATTTAATATTGAAGTTTAAAGATAAGAACTACGAAAGTCAACACAAAATGCTTGGACAAGAAGTCAAAAATAGCTTTGAGCTTAGAGAGAGATGATGGAGAAAAAGTGTGTTTAAGTTACAAATCACAAATGATAATGTTTCATGTACTTCAAAAATGGCTAACAAACCCTTTATATATCAAGGGGTTGCTTAGGGCCAAAACTTGCTAAAAGGGGGGCCAAGAAGTGCAACCCAACATCCCAAAATATGCTCCAAAAATTCGGCCCAAAAGTGTTCAAGCCCACTGTCTGGTCCTGCAGCATCGTGTATGACTGCTTGTGTGAGTTCCTGTAGGAATTCAAAGGATTGATCAGAAGATAGAGATTTTTGGCCACTTTAGCATACAAAATAAATGAGATTCATATACTACACACAATAATCCAAAAACACGGAATTAAAAGAGAAAAGAATAAAAAAACTCATATGAGAAAGTGAAAAGTCCTAAAATGTTGTTAAAAGTAGTACAAATAGGGTTAATAAATTAACACCTATCAACTAACTAAACAAATTTTGATGAAGAAATAAAAAGAGGTTTAAAGTAGCCAAATCTAAGCTAGGTAGTCAATTAGAGTCGATGGAGAAGAACAACTATAGTTGAATACACACGGTTGACGCCCGAATATGCAAGTAGACTGACCATGTCACGAATTAAGTTGATGGAGACCCACAGTCATCAATAGTCTAAAAACCCATTAATGAGTATATATATCAACACGACTTCCTATCTCAAGTTCTTCATTAAAATATCGGAATTTTTACACCAAAACCAAATTTATGAATATATGCTCTTACTAGCCCAAATTAAACCTATCAACCATAATTATTCTTTTAACCCTATCTCTCATCACTCATTGCTTTTCATTGTTCTACTGTCCTAATTTATCTCTCCAATTTAATCTTAATGTCCTTTTAGTTAACTACTCTTTAAGAACTTCAACTAGGTTCATATTGTCTATCAATAGTGTTGGGCGGTGGTGTTAATCGGATGTAATTGTAAGGATTTTATTCGTTTGTGGAATAAGGATATGAGAAGACCAAGGTCAGAGTGTCATAGGTTAGTGACACGATGGTGTTTTTCCGGAAAAGGGGAGGGAGGGGAAATAAAAAAAATAAAAAAATAAAAAAAATACAAAATTACCCCTAGTTCAATAGGCCTTTTAACACAATTAGTCTTAAAGATGAAAAGAGAAAGAAAATGAAAATCACAATAACAAGTAGAACGAATAAAACAAATTTTAAAGACAACAAATAAAAAATCCTTATAAACCACAAACCACATGAGAGTTTACTCAAAATATACAAAAATATTATTCATCATTAAAATCATGCATTTTCATTAATTAATATTGCTTTTAAAATATCCATGGTTTTCAAATAACTTGAATGCAATACAATCATAAATACATTCAAATAAAAATAAATGTTAAACTTTTGACAAAATAATTCATAACTTGTCGTGACCTTCTCTTGAATTTTCAAAACTTCTGTAACTCTATCCTCGCAGGGGCAGATAACCCGTTACTGTCTCGGCTGTGTTACCGAAGGCTCTGGAAAAGTCGGAATAGGAGAGCATTCATCTTTTATTTGAATAGAAATTTACATTAATCCTTATTTTCAATTTACAATAATATTTTACATCATGTCATCGAATGTGTAATTTAGTTGGGACGGAGCGACTATTCAAATATATAATGGGTTCAAGTTCGAATCATGCAGGAGACAAACTTGAACTCCTCCATTAACCTTGCCCATTGAGTCGGCTTTAATATGCGTTGCTAGAGTACAGACTCCATGTGATATTGAGATAATAATCAGAGTTATCGGTAATCAACTTTTTCTCCGATATTATTTTGCAATCTTATTGGACGGATAGTTGGTTATTTATTAATCTATAAAATAATTACCCAAAAAAGAAATTACTAAAAATAAAAAAAAATAAAGGGAAGGGAGGAGTGGGCGAGTGGAGGGTTTTCGAAAGCTTCTTATATCCCTTCTTCTGGTCGCGGCGGATTCCATTCCATCGCCAGTAGTACTCATCACTCGTCTTCCAACTGCGTGTAACTGTGTGAAAGAGGAAGGATTTTTTACTAGGGAGGAGGAAGTGGAATTGCTGGTGGTAGCGGCGGCGTTAGATCTGATAAGAAGTATGGGTAGCAGAGGCGGCGGCGGAGGAGGAGGAGGAGGTAATAATGGCGGAGGAGTACAAGGAATACCGGCGGCGTCTAGGAAGATGGTACAGAGTCTAAAGGAGATTGTAAACGGAGTCTCGGAAGCTGAGATCTACTCTGCGCTTAAAGATTGTAATATGGACCCTAACGAAGCCGTTAATCGTCTCCTCACTCAAGGTGAAAAAAAAAATAATAATAATAAATTTTCATGCCTTTAAATCTTTCATATTTTTTCGATGATAATCTGCAGAGATTTGAGAACAGTTATCTAATTTTTTGTTGTGGCGTACTTGCACTATAAATTTTCGAGCATCTTATTCTCTGTCATACCAGCAAAAATTTATTGCTTGTGTGCGATTAGGGGTGTGTCACCGCAAAAATAAGTATGGTACTTGAAAGAAACTACAACTGTTTATATGAAGATACAATTAAATATATATATGATTTGATGATTTTGGTCGTCCTTTTTTTCTTATATTTTACGTGTTGATCATGGAGATTTGAGGCATTGTAAGCCTTTTAGTGGTTTGGGTATTGCTGTTTCGAAATTTGATAAAACTAGGTTTAGTTATGGTAGCAAATAATACTGTTAAGTTCTTCTCTGGGTTTATTAGGGCTCGTTTTATATTTAAAGAAACTGATACTGTTATTCTATACGTAAAATCAACATGTTAGTCAGGTGTTGGGTTTTCTTATTGGTGTTATCTTTGTCTTGCATTGCAAAATTTCAGTTGGATGTGCTTATGCATACTCTACTATCAGCTTATTACCTGAAGCGCCCTCAAAAAGCCAATTTTTTTTGTTTGACCATGAACCATGTGAAGTGTTTATAAGAACGTTCAATTTAGCCATTCCGAATGTGGCTTTGAATGGATGAATCCATGAGATTCTATGATGTTAAGCTGTGCAATGGCTGTGAATGGAATTATGACAATAGTTGTGTTTCTGTATGTTGTCAAATAAGATGACATAATCTTGATTCTTCTTTATTTTTTTCAAAATTTTCTAACTTTGCTGGCAAGCTTTCGTTTTTGTACCCTTTTTGCAAACCGGGATCTTCATGGAAACAACGAGTATACTCTTTGGGGTAGAGCAAGTTTGCGTACATCCCGAGCCCTGGTGGGATATGCTTTGGTAATCTTGATAATTGTTGTCATTGCATATTCATTATTCATGGTTCATATACAAGTCTTGCGAGGTCTATATATTGAGTGAAAATGTCTTCTTGAAACTGATTTATAGTTTTGGATTTTTATGGCACTTCACAGAGTGTGTCCTTGCCTTTGTGCATTTATGTCGAAGCATATTGATTATTCATGGATTGTCTATTTTGATGTACAATTTTTCTTGTTTTGATTACAACCCAGTGATTCACATGAAACTTCTTTTGCAACTCTTTTCGTTACCTTTTCAAATTAGAGAAAAAACAGTAACTATCACCATAAGCTACGACCAAGGTGCATCACATGGTTCTGCAGGACAGTTGGGAATATATTAGTAATATATTTGCAGAATATTGCCCTTCAAAAATATTATTGGCTTCATGTATTTATTAGGTTGTGGTAAAGTTTATATATAACATTGGGTATTGGATTTGTTTATTTTCTTGAAGTTGTAAGGAGAAAAGGTAGATCTAGAACCTGTATTATTTTGGAACAAGTAGATGGACTCATATGAAGGCAAACAAGTTAAAAGTTGCTTTGAGATTTTATTTTCTCTTTTATATTCTCTACAATATGTCTGTCTTTGTGTTTTATAGGATTGTCGTTGTAATGGCAACTTATCTATTTTTGGTGTTATTTTACTTGCATCTTCATGTCACTTCTTACTTTCAACTTCCTGAAACAAAATTTTACATTAGCACTGCTTCTTGTTGTTGCCTTTATCTGTGTGAACTTATAGTAGCTTTCTCGTGATGAGCAAGTCTAAGCTATATACCCATATAATATTCAACATCAGTTCTAATATGAAGTTATTTTATCTTTTAGATCCTTTTCACGAGGTGAAGAGCAAGCGAGAAAAGAAAAAGGAGGTGCGTGGAGAAAGAAGGCATGGAACCTATATGGTTCCACCTTTTTCTATAACCGAGTCTCTTTATGCCGGTCTTATTTCTTGCATCTGTACTGCTTTACAATGGACCTAAGAGATAACATGTTCAACCTTACTGGTCTTTTACAACTTCTTTCTTGACCTATTGTCATTCAGATATCTCTCCAACATCTATACATGCATTATTTCTTTTTATATTTCTATTGATATTAATCTCCTCGAACCTTAACGTACAGAATATTTAAACAAACTGGTCACCAGATTGGGGCAGAGTTTCTTACCTGCTTGTATGAATTTGTCTTGCACTAATGGTGTACAGAATTTTTATTATTGTATTCCTATGAATTGCAAATTTCTCACGTGTCATTAGTTGATCCGTCTTATCACACATTGTTTTTGGCTGTTCAAAGGTCTTACAAGATCAAAATTTTATTAAGTTGCTCCTATTTTTAAGTAGTTTATTTTTGCTTTTATTTGTGTTCAGTTTAAGGATACAACAGAATCCAGGCCTCGTGGTGGCGGTGGTATCACTTCAAATCGTGGTGCCAGAAGTGGTGCAGATCGTTATGCCGGGCGTGGCGGTTCAACTCAGTTTAGCTCTTCTGGTATATTCAGTGTTACAATTTGGAGAAGTCAAAATATTTGTTTGGTTCAATGGAAACTTGACTTTTAATTTCATATTATTTCGTTCTATGCGTTATCTTATAGAATCTGGTGGTTTACATGGAAAACTTAAGAGGGAAAACGGGACAAGTTCTTACACAAGTTCATCTGCACCAGCTTATGGAGTTGCAGCAACAAATGCAAATCGGAGCCCCCCAACTTTCAGGTAGCAATGACCAGAAACTTGTTGGAACTCTACCATTCTAGTAGTTACTATGGCATACTTACGGATATTCAAGGTATACTGCACACATCTTGCACATAATCTGATAGGTTTTGGAGGCAGAGAACGTCTCCGAGGGTACTCACCACATCTTTTGCCCAGTCATACTGGTCAGGGTACATGGGTTTTTTTCTTGTACTTTTAGGTTTGTAGAGAAAAACAGATGAATGTTATTATTTGCCATTGTATCATTTAAGGCTTTTGTATATGTCTTGTCTTTTGATGTCTGAATATTCTCACCTATCATGATTGTCATGCTAGTCGGTCTATCTGAAGTGTTGCCTTTGTATGTGCTCCCAAAATTAGGAATTAAAGTTGAAATGTTTCCTAGCAAATTCAATGTTAAAATGGATCCTTAACCTTTCTGGGAAGCTAAAATTTTAACAATCATTTGATTCTTCTCTGACAACAGAAAGAGAACAAAAAGAAGTTGCATCTCTCTGACACTTTTCCATATTGTATTCATCATGGGAATGGCTAATAATTTCTACGTTTTTGCTCATTAACTGTGTCTTGCTACTGCAGTGGTTCTTTTGGCACTGAAAATAAAGCATCATCTTTCAGTGCAGCCGATGGTACTGCAACAGTTTCACAGCAGCCATCCTCTGGATATCAATCTGCTTGGTTGGGTGTTCCTGGTCAAAAATCGATGGCTGATATTGTGAAAATGGGCAGGCCACAACACAAGGCTTATAGTACTCCAATTTCATCTCAAAGCATCAATCAGAGCGCCTTTATACAGCCTTCATCTGCACATTATGAGCTGCATTGTTTGGAGGACTATGCTTCTAAAGCTCCAGAGATACATCCAGAACATGATGCTGCTGCAGATCAATATGTTTCTCCTGATGATGAATGGCCCTCTATTGAGCAGCCACAATCTGCCGGTGTGCAATCTATATTGGAGCCATATGTAGAGTCTGAGCTGAATGTGGGTCAATCAAACTTACCATTTGAAAGAAGCAACCAATATGGGGGTTCTCAGACAGATGAGGCTCAGGAAGAAGATGAAAGTGTTTTTGAAGATCACACTGCAAATCATGTTGGGTCTGCTTCTGTTTCGAGTAGAAAATTGCTGGATGATACATCTGGAAGTGCACCTCTATATAATAATGACTTGTATAAAAACATGGATTCCTTCCACCCTGAGGAACATGCTTTTGAGCACAAGGAAGGTATTTCCTACATTCTAAGTGATCAGTTTTGTTTAGTAGCTCAGCATCATGAATCAAACCTCCTAAAGTTTACTAACATCATCAACATAAAGGTTGTTAGGGTCAGTGCAATCTATGATGCTCTACAGAGTACCAAGGTTTAGTTTTTTCTCGAATTGGATTAATAATGATATTTGATTGATGATATTTTTAGGCAGCCGTGATATGTTTATTTCTTTGAAACACATGTGCAGCTATTTTTTATACAATATACAAAGCATTAGAGCAATCACGTCTTGGAAACATTCTCATTTTTTCATATGCACTTGGTTGACCTTTATAGGTGCCTCAGATTTGGTGGAGCCTTTTGTGTACCTATATATATTGTGAACCTTTATTTGTATATATAAGGTTGGCTGAAGTTCGGATATATGTGAGCTATGTCATATTTTTTCATCGCAACAGAAGTGATTTGTCTCTGTTTAATGTATGGAATCTGTGAGAGGAGCTTTTTTTGCTTTATCCTTATGGATTAGTTTTCTGGTGTAGAAGGAACTGTTGTTGGCTGCATAAGACTGCATGCATCGTCTTAATGCTCCAACAGATTTTTTCCCTGTAGTTGCATAATTCTTGAAGGTGTATTTCATCACTTGTTTTAGGTGTATATGTCATCATGTGAGTTATTATATGATTTGTAGTTGTCGAGAGTCCAAAGCCTGATACTTTTAAGTGAATTTTTGGCCAAATTGTGTCTGGTGTTTCTGGATTTAAACTATTCGTGCATGCTTACAATTATGTGATAACTGACAAGTACATTACATACTATATAAATACGTATTTTGTTGTCTTGTTTATCTCTTTTTTGTACAGTTGGCCAAAGGTTCATTTAATATTGTCTGAACTTTTGGTTCCTGGTGGCTATTTGGGTTTATACTAATCATGTTGCGATCAAATCTGTTGGTCATCTAGATATGTGAATGCACATATGCTTTCTGTTTTGTGGTTCAAAGGCAGGGACTAACATTGAAGATAATCTGGGAACAAGTAGTATATACAGAAGATGCTTGAATTTAAGCATCAGCCATTGTCTCATGCTATATAACATGTTGTAAATGGGTGGCAATTAACATTGTTATAGTAACCAAACCATACCAAACCAAATTGATCGAGTAAATCCCATTCGAGAGTAGGGTCTTGGGGGGAGTCGAGATGTACGCAGACCTGACTACTACCTCAAAAGAGGAGAGCAACATATCATAGATATTTTCAGTTCATCATTTATCACTTGGGGTCAAAAGAGGAGAGCAACATATCATAGATATTTTCAATTCATCATTTATCACTTGGGGTAGGAACGATAGTATTCTTGGCTTGTGCAAGATTGTGAACAGCACAGGTGGGAAGCATGCACTCTAACTTATGGGGAATGCAACTGAGAGAAATAAGAAGAAAAAGTATATACCAAACGTAGTTGTTAAATGTGCGCCTAGGCGCAAGAGGTTGGGTTTTTTCTATGGTCGAGGTGAGGCATATTCACAAAGGCGGGCTTGGCTGAGGCGCCTTTTGGGCCTAGGCGTGTCTCACAAATCGGGCTTGAATTGTGTTTTTTAAAATAAGTCTTCTCATCTCCTAGACTTCTACAAAAAAGGCTTATCATCTCATCTCTCATGATTAATGTACCGAACCCCTTACAAATACAACCAAAGCCCACCCCATCTCTCATCTCCTCACATTTGCTCTTGATCTCTCTTGATCGTGTACCGCTTGGGTGTTACTTCCTCTTGATCGTACCTCTTCGGGAAAAGGTAACGTACTCATATGATCATCCTTATGTCATTGTTTCCATATTTTAAATTAGGCATGGCAACGGTGTGAGGATGGGGCGGGAAATGCAATCACTGGGCCCGGTCCCTCGGCGGGTACAAGGAATTGAATCCCTCACTTTTTGTTGGCCCTATCCCCGACCGATCCCTGGTTTAACAAAAAATGTTCAAAATTGGTTAAAAAATAGAATATATATATAATATACTTTTGATATATATGTTATATATTATGAGAGTATATTATATATTATATAGTATATTATATTTATATTAAAAGTATATTATATATGTTATATTTTTCTACCAATTTGAACCTTTTTCTGTTGAAACGGGGATTGCTTGGAGATAGGGCCAACAAAAAGTTGGGTATATATAGGGCTCGGCCCCGGTTTTCGATTTGTTGCGGCTCCCCGGCCCCTACGGTTTGGTGCAAATCACCATGCCTACTCTAAATGACATTGGTGAGAGTAATGCGCGGTTGATTGGAAGAAGGAATGATGATAATGAAGAGGTTTATGTGTTTGAAGATGACTCATTGACATGGGCTGATGTTGCTAGCGCTTCGGGATCTTGTGAGTGTAACTATAATGTGCAGAACAATGAAGTGAAGGTTAGGGGAAGGGTAGGAGAAAGGCCACTTCTAGTTCAAGACATCAACTCAAAGATGAATAGTATGAAGTTGAATTATTAGAGAAGAGTGACTTCAGAGAAGATATTGGGGAGTATAAATCCGATGAGAACGTTGAAGAATACACACTTGATGATGATTAGGATTGAGCAGTGACTAGTAGTCAGGACTTTATTGAGCTATGCTTGATATTAATGCTATTTGAAAATTGAAATTGAACTATGTTCTATATAATGCCTTTTGAGTTGTGTGTAACTATTTGCGTGTGTATATATGTTTGATAAGATGTGCCTCATTTTCTTGAGGCCTTCGCTTAGGTCCCGGGACCCCTTTACGTTAAGTACCTCTGAGCCCTTAACAACTTTGATCTCAAGCTTTGCTTTGGTTTATAGTCTATTGATGGAGATATCAGGGATTGAGTGGTATATTTATATTTTATGGATAGTGTGGTGGGATAATTGATATGTTTATTTGTTCTTTGCTTACTATTGCAGTGTGGAATTCTATTTTCTTGGTACTGACCTTTTTTTTGGTAATTTGTACCTTTTTTTTGCTAATTTGTTTGTACCTTTTTGTGTCTTAAAGAACGTAAAAATTTGGTTGGATATGCACATTTCATCAGAAGTCTTCTCATCACTAACTTAGTTATTTTACCTATCTTGAGCATAGTTGTGAAGATTTGTATTCTTAGTGGAATGCCAATACCTTTTGTTTTTGACTCTTGTCAATTTGACTCAATTCAGTTGAAGAAGGTAATGCCTCAGCATCCTCAGTGAGTGCAAACATGCAGCAACTTAATATACAGGAAGAGAGACACTTGGATGAATCTGAAGAGGAGGTCCCTTCTGTAGTAATCCCAAATCACCTGCAAGTCCAGACTGCAGATTGCTCACACTTGAGTTTTGGGAGCTTTGGTGCTAGCATGAATACTGGGTTTCCCGGATCTTTTGCATCTAGGAAGTTGAGAAGCAATATAGAAGAGACACCTGCTGAGGCAGATACTTCATCTGTTGGGCCCTCTGAAACTAGGTAGAACCTTCTCCCAATATTGCCATTTTCATAAATTTCTTTTTGATATTGTTGGTTCTTATATGAGTTCCATCTGCAGAAATTCCGAATACTATGGTGATGAGTCTATAATAACATCAGAGAGCAATCCTGTCCACCGGGGGGTGCCAAGTTCTGTGAGTTATGATTTACCTTCTGCTTCACAGACAGAGGTGTTGAAGCAAGAAAATTCCGAGGCGACACATGCGAATCAATATAGTTTTTCTTCGTCTACACCTGTACCTGGTTATACATTTGATAGCACCCAGCTATTGAACCCTTCTTTCCCTCAATCTCAGACACCTACACAGATGCAAAATGCAACTCCTTTTTCGAATGTGATGGTAATAACACACAGTTACAATACATGTCATTTAGATTGTCGATTCTTTTCGCTTGCATACTTTTGTCTCAGTTGATGCTCTGACTTTCACCTATAATATGTGCAATGAAAACATAAATTTTCTGCTGTTTATAATCATGGGAACTGTTACATCTAAGATTTTTGGGTTCCTGGAGGTTGGCACAGTTCTCTGTGAGTTATATTTATCATATAGTTAGCTTTACGAAATAGACCTAGAAGTAAGGGGCTTTTACCAAATACTTACTCGGTAAGCACTTACCTGTAGAATTCAACACTTATCATTTACTTACCGGGTAAGATTTTAGTCAACAAAAACGACATCATATGCAACAATTTACCCGGTAAGCGCTAACCGGGGTAAGAATAGTTGCCCTCACTTACTGGGTAAGACTTTCGGTCCTTGCCTCGTTCTTACTAGGTAAGATTCTTGGTCATTGTCATATTCATCCGGTTAGGTGATGTAACTTGGTAAGTGCTTACCCGAGTAAGCAATTGGTAAACGGCCCTTTAAGTCTTGGTCTTGTCCTTGATCAACGGCAATGGCAACATGCAAATACTAGTCGTAATCTTTTATACTTTTTCTAATAACTTTATTGCCATATAGCTTGATACTAGGTAAACAAAGGGTGTTGCCATAATGTTGATGAATTCAATATTTGATAGGGTCAAGGAAGTGAATGTTGTTGTCTTGTACTATTGTATAATTTCATGAGACAAATGATATTGTCCAGTTATTCAAAGATAGGATACCTAATGGTGGCTATAGTTTGATAAATAAATCTTTTTGAAGCTCATCTTTTGCTATGCTCAATGTTTGTTCACTTTTTGGCTGTTCTCTCTATGATTTTTGCAGCAGGCTGCATATACAAATTCATTACCGAGCACATTGTTAGCAGCCAATGGTCATCCTGTCAGAGAATCTGATCTTTCATATTCACCATTTCCTATTAGTCAGTCAATGCCCACTAAATATGGTAGCTCAGTATCTTCAATCAGCGGTTCAACTATTTCTATGGCAGAGGTATTGTGCTGTATTTAACTTGCTTTTATTCTTTTCTTGGAATATTGATTCATTACATTCTGGTAGTTTTAACTGTAGAGCTTAAGATTGTGCTTTCAGATTATTTTTTTGTGCAAAGATTTGACTATTGCTGTTACCGATCAAATGTGTTTTGTAGGTCTGAATGAGTGGAAAAATAATTGAAGTCCTTGTGACCTGTCACATGGAAATTGGAAAAATAACTTGAATAATTAACTAGGATATCGAAGATGTACATGAAAACTGTATAGGATTCACATCCAAGGTGATGAATTTCTCACCAAAAATTGATGAACTCAATAGACGAATGGGTATGTAAGTAAAATTAAAGTTCATCTGATGATGAAACACCATAACCTTAACTTTTGGGCCGAGGAAAACCAATAAGATGCTAAGCTGTCGATATGAGACAAGACGAATAAACAGATACCAACCACTCAATGATCATGCTTTGTATAAATACATGATTAAATAATAAATGTCAATGATGATTATTCTCTCTCTCCCTTTCTCCCATGTTGCATTACTAAATAATCAATGTCATAGCAACGTTATATGAGATTAAGATCAAGCTTCTCAAGCTCCTTCGTAGTGATTCATTTTTAATGCTTGTCCGGTTGGCCTCATCATGTAACCAAGAATGATGCTGGCCACCGCCACAATTTACCATAATCCACTCACCAGCAACATTCTTGATTACCTAGATGGTGTTGGAGAAGAATAGAGCAATAATATGTAATTATAGGGTGGGGTACGTGATGGAAACAGGAGGGTGGGGGAAAGAGTGTGACGCTGTGGCGAGTGGCCCATTACAGGGAATGAGATACTCTACATTAAATGATTAAATACAAGACGAATACTCAATTTGTTTAGAAGATCTCATTTGTAATTAACCATAGCAGTGTCTTTCTTTAAATTTGTGTTAGTTCTATCTTCTGCATGCATTTAAGGAATCTTTCTGTGGGAGGCCAAGCAATTCCTTTTACCATTTTTCATGAATTAAGGGAAATGGTGATGTATATTGACAACAAATTTGTTCACACCGTTTTAGTTAAGGTTATCCCCAAGTGTACATGTAAATGGTTCACATTGTTTTAGATTAGGTGAACCAAATTGACCGACAAATAGACCAAAAGTATAACAATTCAAAATAGCTCGTAAAGTAAAAGAACACCCTTCCCATGTAATGATGTCATGGCCAAATAGATCAAAAGTATCACAATAGCTCGTAAAGTAAAAGAACGCCCTTTCTATCCTTCACCTAATGACTTGGCTTGTTTTTTTAAATCATCAAACATGTGTTAAATTATACAGAACTCTTGTATGAAAACCATTGGTCTAGCAAGTTCCTTGTATGGTTCTAAGGTTGCCATATAAATCTCACATCTCTATTTTGTGGTTTATCTTTTGGAACTAAAACAACTTATGTTATGACTTTTAATCAGCTAATTTTTGACATCTATGTGTAAATGGCTGTTTCTTGCTAGTACATACATGGTTGTGCACTTAAAACACTTGAGACATAACTCATGGTCAGGTTCAGGTTTGTGATCCAATCATTCTGAGTTATAAGTAACTAATCTTGGTATTCAATCTGTAAGAGCATTATAATCATTACACATGCCCTATTGTTCAACTTGTTAAATCAATAAGCTTAGAGTTTTAGGGATCTTAACCCCTTTTTAATTGCAAGAGTCAATAGCATTCAACTTTTGTGCTGTTACATCTTTTTACATGTTAAATGTTGTTTGACAAATATAGATTTTTTTTACTGTAGTAAAAAGTTTGACTTATGAGCCCTTAGGTTCAATTTCTTAATTGTATGTATAGGGTTTTAAAATCCAAAACTTGAATGTGCTACCTGATTAATCAAACACCAAATTGGAGCTTCACCAAAACTGTCCAATCTCATTTAATGACGGTCTTTGCCCTTGAATGAAAAATGCTTGGCAGTCTGTCTTGCTCAATATTAAGATTGAACTTGTTGAAATGGTGACATGACTCTTTCTTATTGTCATTCCCAATACTTCAACAGGATAGTTCGAAGCTTGTGCTAACTGTTGAATCTTAAATAACTTGAAACATAGATGTTTTAGATAATCAAATAAGATTGTAACATGTACAAGAATCATGAGAACTTTTTAAATTTCAGTCTAAAAATTGGAATATTAGTCATGGTCAAAAACATTTTGGAAATATGCAAATGGGATAGAAGAGATTTTATTTGATACAATGGTCAAACTAGTATATAGTAACAAATGTTTTGATGTTTTTCAAGATGTGAAAAATGAAAACAAGATTTTCTTAAGCTTTTCGACGGTCTATAAGATGGTTTTATTTCGGTAGAACTATTGTTCTCAGGATGGAACCTCTCTAGCGGAGGCATCTTGCAATGCACCCTAAGATTGAATATGAGCGTAACACTAATGATTCCTCAGAAAAATGGATGGCTCTACCAATATTCTAAGAAAATAGTGAGTTATTTCTAACCATTGAAAAAAGATGGAATTGATTAAAAACTCATTAAATTCAATAGTAACACCTGACCTGTTTCTTAGACGAAAGAAGCACCCGTGATTGACGATCTTTCCACTGACAGTGACATGCGACTTGTTGTGGTATGGTGGCTTGCGGCTGCGTGTTAAGGTCATTGTGTTGGCCGTAAGTGGGGATTTATTTGCGTCCTTTTTTTTCTTTGTTTGAGATTGCAGAAATACCTTTTCTTGACACCCCACAAATCCAGCAGCCTGTTCAGAACTTCGATGAATATGGCTGGGGCATTCTGCAGGGATTTCTTCCTTTCATGCCGAATTTTCTTTATCCTTTCTTTCTTAACTGCTGTGGCTATGCTATGTTTGCTGAACTTCTTTTGGTAGCTAGGTTTTGGGTTGATGCCGCCATTTTGTGTTGTTTGTGACTACTAGGGGTTAGCAATGATACGGCGGCTAGGGTTTCTAAAGAATTTGATGTAGGATGTAATTAGGGTACATAAATGGAAATTTTCTTAAACTAATCTAGCGGCTCGAAGTTTGGACAAAGCTAACAAATAAGTACCAACACCTCAAACTTTACAGTTGTATAAAAATAAATAACTAAACCTGTGAGTTGAGCGAATATATTTTTGTATTTTTACCTTAAGTACATGGTGCTACATATAACCCGATAGACTTGACGTTTATCCATAAAATCAGGATTATATTGACATATTAAGCCTCTACTTCTACATATTTACACATTACACCCTATAAGTTGTACAAAAGCATTGATGGTGATGACCATCCAATCACAGATATTTTTTTAATTGTATTACATTCCATATATCTATCATTTAGTTGAATAAAAACAGTTATCCAACCATGTATAAACCCATTGTATGCTCTAAACGAGTCATGGAGAAGACAATGTTAAAAGTTAAAGAGAAAGTTCGATTGATGATGACATGCGTGATCCACCATTTTCCCTGTATGGTATTAATTAGATTGAATGGTGTTCGAACAGCATTTTAGTTAGTAAATAGCAATGTAGATTTTTGATCTCTCAATTGGAATGTAAGTTGACATATCTGTATCTATCAGTGTTTGTGGGAGTAGACGATAATTGCCAAGTTTTTTGTTTGGTGGTATACTTGAAAACTAGAGACAGTTATAGGCCGATGTGTATTATAGAATCTGGTTAAGAACGCCTCCCACTAAGCATTTTTTTTGTTCCAGAACTTGTTTTACCTTTAGATAACAGTAAAAATGCCAATGCAGATGAAAACATGTTCAAATATCTTGCATCTTCTAGATGTGTTAAGGAATATACAAAAGTACAGTGGTTTACAGTTCTGTACAGGCTCTATGCATTAGAGTATCATATATTCAGAAAGGGCATGTTATGAGGGAAGGAAGTTTCCACCTCAAGCCTATGTCAAGGCCGGGTATCCATCTCAGTTCACATGGCAAGTTGGCAACTATAAACTCATGACTGTTGTCATAGATAATTGATTAAGTATCAGATTGCATTTTAGGTCTGGGAGCCTTTTCAAATAAATTAAATGTGCAATTTGGACTTCAAAATTCCAAATTGTTGCAGTTAATACATGGGGAACCATTACATTCATAAGATATGGAGATCAATACATTATTAAATGAGAGTACAATAAACACATTCCAAATTATAGAAACTGAATATTTCATGTGGTATATGCTGCTTAGAGTTTCTTCAATAAAATTACTCTTATATGGAAAATAATCTACTGCTCGATGAAGATTTTTTTTTGATGATTTTTGAACCAACTAACAGGTTATGACTCTCCAAGATCTTGGCAGTGTCATCATTTTGTCTCTTCATAATACAGTTGTAATTTCTTAGTCTCTTTCGGACAAACTCCTGAACTGTTTAACGAGACACTCTAGGAAGCTAACCAAGGTTAAAAGAGATTAGTTCTTGTTAAGTTGTTTAAGTTATTTTAGAGATATTTCGACTCGGTAAGCAAGAGTAACACGATGAATGTTTGGACTTTTTGTTGTTTACAAATAATGGGCTTGCATCCAAGTTTCTTATGATCAAAAGCCTAGTTAGTTACACAAAGTTAAGCTAACTTATCGGTTACGGAAACATATGCGCATGAATGAACCATAAATTTTCTTTTGGTTGATAAACAACAGGGTTGTAGAGATGAGCGTTCTCAAGTGTACTTGATTTTTTTTGCTCAGTTGATATTTATGGCCCAATTTTAGTATTATAATTACTTGCATGTTGAAATCCTGTACAAATTGGTTAGTTGGTTTTGCTATAACTTTATTTCCTGCCTTCACTCACCCATAGCATTTGACATTTGATGCAATGTTTATATACCAAGAAGGAAAGCTAAAAAAGTGAACCTACAATTGTTCTACATATCAAATATTGATAGAGTTGATGACATTAGTATTTGTTTGTTACATTCTATGCTTGTAATATGAGCACTATTCCTTGTCTTTCAAGATGTGATTAAGACTTTTAGCTATTGCCCCAACCCTACGGGTGATAATACACTTCATTTTTCTAGGAATTCTGTTGGTGGTTGTGTATTGGATTTGTATGATAAGTGCCTATAGCTCTCTCTTTATACAGTTTGTACAGTTTTATAGTTTTTATTCTTCCTACATAAAAGCACATATTTACCATACTGTCCATCCAGGCTTTGAAGACCGGGGTTTTCTCATCATCTCAACCAACACAACAGACTCCACCTGGGAACACTATTCCTACAGGACCTGCTCTTCCACAGCACCTTGCTGTGCACCCGTACTCTCAACCCACTCTTCCTTTGGGACCTTTTGCGAACATGATCGGCTATCCATTTTTGCCTCAGAGTTATACATACATGCCATCTGGTTTTCAGCAAGCATTTGCTGGGAACAGCACGTATCATCAACAGTTGGCAGCCGTTCTCCCTCAATACAAAAACAGTGTTTCAGTCAGCAGTTTGCCTCAATCTGCGGCTGTTCCTTCAGCTTATGGTTCATTTGGCAATTCGACAGCAATTCCTGGAAACTATCAAGTCAATCAACCTGCAGGCCCTGCTGGCTCCACCCTAAGTTATGATGATGTATTGAACGCCCATTACAAAGAGAACAGTCAGTTGCTCTCTCTTCAGCAGGTATCCTCTTTTATGTTTCACTAACTACATCTAAAACTAGGCTCTTATCTCATCTATATTTCCTTTAGCGCATACCTGGCTATATGTGTCACTTGTGATCATGGTTCTAAATAACTCGTTATGACGCTGAAGCTTGGTTTCGCCACCATGTTGCATTTGCATCTTAGGTGGTGGCTTAAAATAGCATCTGAGGCCCTGACAGAGACCATCCGTGCTTGTGAAAAGATAATCTGTCTCAAACCTCACTTACTTTGTTGGGTAACATTCTTGGCCACAAAAATGGATTGTTTGTAAACGTCTCTTACCTAGTACCGCTAATTGGGTAAGAATCTTCTCCCTCAATTACCGGGTAAGAACCAAGGTTGTTGTCATGCCTCTTACCGGGTAAGATTCTCTATCCTTGTCAGTTGCCATGCTCACCCGATAAAGTAAATGACTTGGTAAGTGCTTATCTAATAAGCGTTTAGTAAACGCTCCCTTAGTGGGGTAGTTTGTGTGGTTTATAACAAGAGAATCTCTCTTGTTAGTTTGTGACATGTATTCATATATATATACATACAAAAGACACCTTGTATCATTTTCAAAAATTTGGTGAAATTCCAATACCCATCTACCACAACTCACCCATTTTTGGGTGGGGAACTTGGTATCATTTATTTTCTAAATTCTATTTGTTTTTGTAATGTTTTAGAACGAGAACTCAGCAATGTGGGTTCATGGCGCTGGTTCCAGAACAATGTCCGCTATGCCCGCCAGCACATATTACAGTTTCCAGGGTCAAAACCAGCAGCCGAGTGGGTTCAGGCAAGCTCAGCAACAGCAGCCTTCACAGAGTTACGGTGGAGCCGCCCTTAATTATCCGAATTTCTACCATAATTCCCAGACCGAATTACAGCAGAATTCGAGGGATGGTTCTCTTGTCGGTGGGTCCCAAGGCCAACCAAAACCACAGCAGCAGCAGCAGCAGCAATCGCAACAGCAACTATGGCAAAACAGCTACTAATGGATTTGGGTTGGCTGATACCTGACTCGGGTTTTTTCAGGGTCTTGTAATGAGTTTGAAAGTGGGGTTAAAATTCAAGTTTGAAATAATCGAACGAAAAAAGAGTAGTTGGTTTTAGCTGCTGCTGCCCTGTGCCTTGAGAGAAGGTTGTATTCTACCGGTGTTTTTTTTATGGTCACTGTTTGGTTCGGTTAGTTTGATTTAGGGACATGCGTGCCTGCTAATTCTCGTTAGTTTGACTTTTTTTTTCTTTCTTCGTTTCTTTGTTTTGTTTCGTTTGTGGGTGTTAATTTCTCCTTCATCGTCAAGTAATTTATAGTTTTTGATGGTGATTGTGAGCTTCTAATCTGGTTTTTATTACTGTGCTAGTTTTATTTTATCGACAGCAAGTGTTGTCTTTCTCTTGATCGTTATCTTCTCTCTCGATTTGTAATTTGATCTTCGGATGTATTTTTGTTTGTGGCAAAGAAGGATGCAAGGTTGGTTAGGTTCATTAGAACCCATTGGCTCTTAAATTGGTCATGGTTCGTTAGACCGGTTGGATCTGTTTCTGTCGACCAGTTAAGGCTGGTCTGGACTTGTTTTCAGTTGGTCATAACGGTTCTGGTTCTTGAAAAGAATCAAGAATCAGGCCTAGTGACCAATGACCTAACAAGTGTGAACAAGCTTGGTTCTTTTTGGTCCTTCCATAACCAGTTCTGGTTCTTAACCGTTTCTTCGACAAGTTCTCTCATATGATCAGGCATTGGGAATGCTTACCAAGTACTTGCGGACGTTAATTGCATCTTATTGGGTAACTAAACGTTAATTGTCTTTTACTGAGTAAGAGATGCTTATCCCGAAAAAGATGGTCTTTATCAACATATTTATGTGCTCTTTTGCACACTGAAGATCAATTTGGAAAGTGAAGATGGTGGTTTGTTATAAAATGTTTATATCGTGTTTTTTGATGACCAAGAATCTTTCATGGTAGACTGGTAAGGTAAAAATGATGACTTATATCAGATAAATGTTTACCTTGTTTTTGTGCTAGATTTTTCGATTGTGACACCAATAACTTCAATTATAACACCAATAAAAACATCAAAATGATGATTAGCACTAATCTATCAACACATAATTCCAACAAAAAATATCATTAAACAACTTACCATTACAAATGAAATTTTAACGTCCGGTAAACAATATGAATCACATTTAGTGATTCAATAGACATTGTTTTTTTAAACCGTAAACATGTTTCGTTCAGTTAAAAGGTAAACACAAATTTTTTGTACTATGCCGTTCAGTTGAAGACGATAAGGGTCATTCCGAAGCCACCTCTATTAGTAGTTTGGTTGGAGATAGTCTCCGGTATTCAAAACTATTGGATCTTGAAAGTTAACAATTTATATATTTTAAGAATATCTACAGTAGATAGCGTTATTTTTTGTCATACAATATCAACATTTTATTAACCTTTTTTATTTTATTGAACTTATTTAACTAAATATAAATCTTTATGGTTTCATAAATGAGCTCCATCAAAACCCCTCTGATATAAGTTAATTACTAAAATGTTCAATTTATTTTTCTAAAATATACAAGTCAATGATTATTGAAAAAAGAGAGATTGAATTATGTAGAAATTAACAAGTTTTTCTTTAGAGGAGGAAAATGATTGTTTCGCAAACCACACCATATAAGTTTTTTGTACCAAACCTTCAAACTGTACCAAGCTGCACTGCATCTCTCATAAAAACGGTGACATTCTGTACATATTGCACTTTATGCTACACATGCCCGTTCTTGACATTTTGTAGGCTTTGGACAACATGTAAAAAAAGACCCTCGATATGTAAGAAAAAATCTTCAATATATTGTTTTTAGTATTAGAAATAACATCCAATTCAATTTACATAAAAACATCTTTTCAAGTATTCCTATACATAAATCATATTATCTACCATATCATTCTTACATAGCATCATCAATCCGTTCTACCGTAAAAAAACATCCTATGATATAGCTTTAATAGATATATTGACATCATTTGGAATCAGAATGTTGACTATTCAAAATAATACTTTATGTAAATCAATATAAATCAGTTGAGTTTCCATCTCATCTCATGTTAACGTCTTTCATCCATGTTTTTTACTTGTATGGTTAAAACAAACTTTTTCGAAAACATCAATCTCAGAATAAAAAGCCCATGTTGGTTATAGTTTGAGGTCTTATTCTTGTTACAGAGACAGGAGAATACTTAAGATTCATGTACTCAATATTAGGTAATAATTAGTCAACAATGTAGGAATAAACAAGGTAGTTTTCCTCTTGAATATAGATATAAGTTGGACAGTGTCCTATGGTTGGTAGTTTTTTTCAAAAAATACGAGTTTTTTTTGTTAATAACAATAAGTTTACTATATTCTAATATAATTGCTCATCGGTTTATGCAACCTTAGATTTAAACACAAAAATAGAACTCGACGCAAGTATACACCTTGAACTAATATCGTCTTGTAGCAAGTAATAATGGTAAAGTACCAGATATCGTTCCCACAGAGAAAACTTTGTAAAGTTCTTCAAAAGTCCAGTCTATAAAAACTAATTTCAAATAACGATTTTCAGGGATTTGATTTATCTAAAATTGGGTGATTTGACTAACAACTAAGAAAATATCAGTCATAAAAGAAGCACATGATGCAAAAGTTGATTAAGACACAAAACAGATGATCCGACAGAATAGTGACATAACAATCCTGTCACATTTCTATAAAACCACAGAATGATTTTATAGAACTGTCACAATATCAACTATCGGGTCGGCCTCCCAAGAGTAAACACAGGCCAACGTACTATCGATATGATATCATTTATGTTAGACATCGTGAATTCTAGCACAATATAGTGTTACCATCTTATACCATAGGGGTAGTACTTGTCAGATACTAAAATTATTTATAGTCTTCTCCTATTACCTCAAGTTTTCTTATTTATTTTAACTCTGAAAGTTAATGCATTTTCATATACAAAATTAGTTGTTAGTTAATTTTAATGTAATCTTTAATGAAATATTAATCACCTGAAACAAATAGTTAGACTATAATGCTAATAAGACAGCTCTGTACTTTCACATCGGTTTTGGTCTTAATTTTCCCTTACACCCCAAACTAAGACGTTTAATCCATCATCGCTCGGTTTCTTCTTGCGAAGGATGTAAAGACTGAAAAGTAAATAACTAATGCGAAAAAATAAATTACAAAATTAAATTGCGAGAAATTAAAATAGTGGTAATTAAAATACTAGAAATTAAAGTACATAAATATAAATGACTGGAATTAAATTGCAGTAAAATGTAGAAATTAAAATACTGGAAAGTAAAGGACTAGAATTAAGATACTGAAAAGTAAAGTGCTAAAAGTTAAATATTGAAAATTAAAATTACTCTAAAATAGAAGACATAAAGTAAAAATAAAGACTTGTAAAAAGGAAAGTTAAGGAAACTTGCACTATAAGTCACGAAACTTGCGAGACAAGTTTCGTCACTAAAAGTGAGAAATTACTAACAAACACTTAAAAACAGGTTATTATCTAAGGAAATCAATCCTGGGCCACAAAGAATGAAATCCAACGTAATGCAACAGTAATCGATTGATTCCAACTTGTAATAAAAATCAGAAAGCTTTTAAAAATCAAGAGTAAGAAAAGAAATGAGATGAAACTTGAATACTTGCACTTTAGATTATTCTTGAGAACAAACTAGCAATTTTTTGGTTCTTGTTTGAAGCAAGGAGACTGAAATCTTTTTTTTTATTAACCTAGACATCCGACCCGCTATGCGAGTCGAGTAATCCTAGGGCGACCACCCGCTTCGCGGGTAGCCTGGAGTCACCACATTTGAATCTTCGTGGCCATAAGGTGATTTTATTCCTCATTGAATTTGAACCTGAGACCTCCCGGTACTTTTGACCTTTGGAGCTCAAGCTGAAACCAATTTGACACTACCCTTGTGATTAGTAGACCGAAATCTTAGAATAAAAGGCTAGAGAAATTATAAAACCCAACGGTTAATTAAGAATTTAGCTTAGAATTAACTCATATTTATAAAGAGTATGAAACTTACAAAAGAAGATTAACTAATAAGATAAAAGAGAGCCTATAAAGAAAGCTAAACTAACCCAAGGCCTTAAAATCTACAGCTTCAAGGCTGCAACCCAAAATTTTCGGTCCAGAAGAAATTGTGCAGCCCACTGCCTGGTGCTGCAAGACTGCTGTCAACATGCTCCTGTAGGACTGCTATAGAACGTAGCCAAAAAAACTTCAAAAATCTGCATAAACGGAAAAATAACATTAGATATGACATAATACTACTACTACTAATATATATATATATATATATATATATATATATATATATATATATATATATA